TCAACTTGCTAACCGATAGCGCTTGCTAACGTTAGCGGTATCCAGATACCGCTAACGGTTAGCGCTAACCGATCGGGCGTTCTCACGCAGGTGCTAACGGTTAACACTAACGGTTAGCTCCCGATCCGGATACTAGGGCTCTCGTGAGAACCAGGCTTTTATGTATAAGCCCTGTCCAGAATGCACAAATATGGTCATGATGACATCACATCATGACCATATATAGGCACATCATGTCTATATATGGGCATACAGTTTTTTGTAAAATCAAATTTGAACCTCAAGTAGTTTTAGAGTTCATGGTTTGCAAATTTTTAAAATGATGTGTTTGTTAATAAGAAAAAATATGTTAAGATGCCTAATACTCATTATTGCCCAATGACTTGTTGATAAAACTTACCAGACTCTGTAAGGAAACTTATGAGAGATAGAACATTGCATTTGATTTCCGCTGCTGAGCCTTCATTGGTCAAGATTGCTTTGCATACACCAATCAGATCGGATGAAAGAATTGCAAGAACAGCCATACCTACAATCATGAAATAAAAACTAAGTTGGTAGCTTCATTTTACATGTAATAAATTAGGTAAAGGACATAATAGATTTCGCAAAAGTTAAAAATAATTGAGAAACAGAAAATTGATTCTTGCCACAAAAATCAACAATGACCATAATTACAATCACCTTATCTTATCATCATCTTTCTATTATCACAACAAAGATGATGATGGATGAGGATAATAATAATAAGATCAGAACACCATCACAATTATGATTATAATTATCACCATTATTTTGACCTCTGTACATTACTACTATTATATTTTATTTAGTAGTGAGAAAAAATCCTGTTACCATGACAGGGAATTAAACCCATGACCCTGGGATTGGAAGGCTATCATCACTACTAAGCTATTCAACTCCACTATTATGGTCTCAAATCTTTATCCAAGTACCTAGATTAGACGAAGCGACCAACGTGAGGGCAATAAGAGCCTCATTTTGCATCAGCGTGTGCTCAGACATCGCCATCTTCACCAGGTGCTCTATACCGCCTTGATCAATAACAATCTGCATGACTTCCTTAGATGCTGAGTTTTTAATCAGTGCAGCCAACAACCTATCAAGATACATAAAATATAACTTAATGTATTAAATATTATTATAATAAATTACTATATTATTAATGATTTCTCCTTATAGTGCCAGAATACATAGATAATTTACACCAAATCATCAATATACATCTATCGTAAAGGTCATCTTATTACACAATTTAGGAAAGATTAAACAAATACTATATTAAAACACATTCTTGACCAGAGGCAGAATACAGTACAACATTCTTTATTTACACAAGCTTTTCCCAAGGGGTATAAACACAGTAATGAAGGATAAAAAAACTGCATTATCACATGCATATCTACATATTCCAATTTACTATGACATAAGTTATGATTGGAAGCACTATGACATGCTACTGAAAGATTTGTTGTCGTTATTTTACGAAGAATGAGGCACAATAAACCATTTACTTAACATTGCAGCAGACAAAGAGAGATCAATCTATATTCAATTATGGTCAGTCATTATTCATCAATCAATAGATGACATCACAAGGGATGAGGCAACTGCTGCCAATAAACAGAATAATCGCACAGATACCGCTAACGGTTAGCGCTAACCGATCGGGCGTTCTCACGCAGGTGCTAACGGTTAACACTAACGGTTAGCTCCCGATCCGGATACTAGGGCTCTCGTGAGAACCAGGCTTTTATGTATAAGCCCTGTCCAGAATGCACAAATATGGTCATGATGACATCACATCATGACCATATATAGGCACATCATGTCTATATATGGGCATACAACAGTTTTTTGTAAAATCAAATTTGAACCTCAAGTAGTTTTAGAGTTCATGGTTTGCAAATTTTTAAAATGATGTGTTTGTTAATAAGAAAAAATATGTTAAGATGCCTAATACTCATTATTGCCCAATGACTTGTTGATAAAACTTACCAGACTCTGTAAGGAAACTTATGAGAGATAGAACATTGCATTTGATTTCCGCTGCTGAGCCTTCATTGGTCAAGATTGCTTTGCATACACCAATCAGATCGGATGAAAGAATTGCAAGAACAGCCATACCTACAATCATGAAATAAAAACTAAGTTGGTAGCTTCATTTTACATGTAATAAATTAGGTAAAGGACATAATAGATTTCGCAAAAGTTAAAAATAATTGAGAAACAGAAAATTGATTCTTGCCACAAAAATCAACCATGACCATAATTACAATCACCTTATCTTATCATCAGCTTTCTATTATCACAACAAAGATGATGATGGATGAGGATAATAATAATAAGATCAGAACACCATCACAATTATGATTATAATTATCACCATTATTTTTACCTCTGTACATTACTACTATAATATTTTATTTAGTAGTGAGAAAAAATCCTGTTACCATGACAGGGAATTGAACCCATGACCCTGGGATTGGAAGGCTATCATCACTACTAAGCTATTCAACTCCACTATTATGGTCTCAAATCTTTATCCAAGTACCTAGATTAGATGAAGCGACCAACGTGAGGGCAATAAGAGCCTCATTTTGCATCAGAGTGTGCTCAGACATCGCCATCTTCACCAGGTGCTCTATACCGCCTTGATCAATAACAATCTGCATGACTTCCTTAGATGCTGAGTTTTTAATCAGTGCAGCCAACAACCTATCAAGATACATAAAATATAACTTAATGTATTAAATATTATTATAATAAATTACTATATTATTAATATAATCATCAATATACATCTATCGTAAAGGTCATCTTATTACACAATTTAGGAAAGATTAAACAAATACTATATTAAAACACATTCTTGACCAGAGGCAGAATACAGTACAACATTCTTTATTTACACAAACTTTTCCCAAGGGGTATAAACACAGTAATGAAGGATAAAAAAAACTGCATTATCACATGCATATCTACATATTCCAATTTACTATGACATAAGTTATGATTGGAAGCACTATGACATGCTACTGAAAGATTTGTTGTTGTTATTTTACGAAGAATGAGGCACAATAAACCATTTACTTAACATTGCAGCAGACAAAGAGAGATCAATCTATATTCAATTATGGTCAGTCATTATTCATCAATCGATAGATGACATCACAAGGGATGAGGCAACTGCTGCCAATAAACAGAATAATCGCAATTAAAGAGGCTGTACAAACAACCACTTTCATCTGAGGTTAAGACGATCGAGAGCAAACATTATTGGAAAAACCGTTTAATTTTAATTTTATACTGTATGTTATGAGTGATGTTAAAGGTGGTGACATTACTTAAATAAGAATAAAATAAATTAACAACCCCATTTGAAGTTGCTGTAGATGTAGTCACAGAATTCAATATACATATTTCATCAGCAACATAAAAAAAATATCTATTTATTTAGACAAAAATAATAGAATTTTGATTGGTTGTTTCAAAAATGTGGTTAACATAGTTTATATTAATCAATATAGTCAAAAGGAAAACATTTAATTTCACAGGAAATTAACCAAGGATTAAATAGTAAGCAATTCACCACCAGACCTCAAATCATACCATTTCAATCCTAGTTGTTTACACATTCATTAGCTACATGAATATTCATTCAGCTTTATGTGAAAATATTTACCTGTTTGCTTCCCCAGCTACCCCAGCATGCACTTCACAACTACAGAGTTCAGCAACCCTCTCTACAAGGTCAGCATTTGTTCCCATCTTTACTGCAGCTGCAACTGGATAAATTATGAGAAATCACAGATTACAGGGTCATCAATCAACAAGACCAGTTGATGAACTCATTAACAAACTGTCAATTTGTAAACGATTTCTATAATGCTATTTTTGATGCAATTAAGAGAATTTAAATCATAAACCTGACAATATAGAATTTTAAATAAGTATTTAATTTTCAAATGGATTAAACTATTATTATTACAGCCACATATCTAGCAATATTATTTATCATTATGGAAATAGTTTAAGAGTTCAGAGTAATATTATTAAGTATGTGCTTACCAGCTCCATCAATTAGTAGCCTTGCTGTGCCCAGCAGTTTAAATTGTACTGGATTTCTCTCTGTTACTAACAATGGAAGGATAGCCTCCAATGTTCCAGCATCTAGCATTCTAGCCTTATTCAATTCTACAATGTTAAAAAAAAAACCCTTTTTTAAAAAGATATTACTTTTGTATTGAGCAAATACTGTTTTCATCATCAAATGGTAAACTTTTCACCTAAAACATATTTCTTTTATTGTAAAAACAAATACATGATAATCCATTCGTCAGGTGTCAACAGTAAGTGAAGACTTAGATATTGAGTTACAAATTCATAAAGTACATACATAGCTCATGTTTCAATGTTGTTAGAAATGTGTTACTTACTCGGAACAGACAAGTTTCTAAGGGCACTTAAGACTGCATGCTGTAAACGTACATCCATTTCATGACCTTCGACCTTTTCAAGCATTTTAAACAGCGGATCAAGAACACCAAGATCTAGAAGCTTTAAACAATTGCCATCTGAAAAATGGACAAAGCATAACTCAATGTGTATGTGAATATACGCGGTAATTATGTAACAGGAAATTAAAGAATAATAGTTTTTGTATTTTTTTTTTATTATTTCATTTTTGTCAATATTCCAAATTTGGAATTAGAAATTGTGGACAGGCTCCTGTGGACCTGTGGTGGCCATAATACGGTGTCTGTACCATGCCCTCCATCTAGCCTAACTCTCATGCGAGGGTTATTCGAGGAGCTGACGATCGACTCCAATTAATATCCGATGTTGGCCGGACTTGAACCGGGGTCTTCAGCGCAAGAAGCGGGAACAACAGCTCTCAGTTAAACGCTCAGGTTGACTGTTAGTAACTAGTGTAATTGTCATTGTCCTCGTTATCATTATCTTCATCATCATCATCATCATCACCATCATCATTATCATCATCATCATCCATCACTATTTATATAGTTTTTTTTTTGCTTGTTTCTGTTATTACAGATCTTATACAATCAACCAAATAGGATTGTAATTATTATTACTTTACAGGTACCTAACATCTATATTGTATATACAATATATAATAATATAAAATAACTATATTATACAATATTATTCTTAATATTATATGACATTATAATATATTACTATTATATATTATACTGTTGTATCATATTATATTATACATTATATTTATTATGTGATACAAATATACAGCACGTTACCATTGCGGGCAAAGTTCCCAAGAACAAGTGCACCGGATATTTGATATACTTCAATACTAGAGGGTAACCAAGAGGACATCACATGCTGATATAGTAAACCTTTGCCGTCGTCAAATAAAATCGTCATGCTAACATCTGAAAGAGATGGAGTGACAATCAATATGAAATTCTACACTTTCTCTTTTACATTCTAGCGAGGTAGATAAGGATATCTTTTGATACTGATTGGTCGGAGACACTAGCTATCAAATTGCTAACTTTGATGTGGTTGCAATCATCACTGAAAAAAAATCCTGAAATTTTATGGGGACTGAAGCCATAATTTAGATAAAAATGTAAAGGACACCTGACTAGTGATGAACATTAGATGATATTTGATTTTATGTGACAATATTATTTAAAACAAAAGTTCAAATCAAAATTTGTGAAAGATTGCAAAGTGAATTAATTTGTTCTACTGCAAAGGTTCTTCTTGTTCATATTTCATAAGTTGTTCGAATAGAACAATTTAAGTTGGTGGCCATTTGCAATCTGCTCAGACAGGCGGTGGGCCGACATAAATTATGTACTTCCATTTTTTTAAATGTCAGCCCCACCAGTTCTCTTTTTTTAGCAGTAGATTTAAAATAAAAAGGGGCCAGGGAAGGGCTTTGACAGATAGGGTGAAAATACCAGCTCAGCCCAAACTATGGTTAAAAATTTATGATTATGGCACCTCTAGATGTTCAGAAATGGCATTCTCAGATTTAAATTTGAATATAATTTTCTTTTCCACTTTATTTTATTCTACAATTTTGAAAAAAGAACACTCCAGGTTCTCCTACCCTATCACTAGAAATTTTAATAGCACAAAAAAGTTAAAAACAATGCCAGCACTAGAAATTCCCAGATGAGGAGTTTGATTCCCACAAAAAGGGCATTTAATTCAGCCCCATTATGGTTGAGGCTGAGTTTATCAAACTTTAAACATACTGTAGACACCTCTATATTCCTGGAATTAGCACTTTCAGACTGTAAAAATAAGTTTTCAAAGCAGTTTTTTCAACAGAATAATATGCCCCCAAGCCTGCTAGCACAGCAAATGGTTAGACAAGGCATCATATCAATGCGCCCCCCCCCACTTAATCCATTACCCCCTCATCAGTCTCCACCTCCCTTGTCAATAATCTACAACACTAGATACAGTAAGCTGCAATCAGAAAAAGCAAGATTCTTGTTAATAATGCTAGAGTAGGTGGTGTTTTTATTAACATAAAACTTTTTCAAAAAATCTGCCTTAAAAATGATTTACTTTTTAGCAATGTTGCGCGAGCTGGATCAAAATCTTTGGCCGGCCGGAGTTGACCTGGGGCCGGAGGTTGAATACCGGGGGAATAAAACTAGGCGTACAAATGCTGAGAGCAGATTAAAACACATAAAACCTACAACACCAAACTACCTCCCCAGTCTGATGGTTATTACACTTACCCTCCGTAACCAGCAATACAATAATGTCTGTTGCCAACTTTTCCACTTGCACGTCGTCATCGGTGACGCAAATCTTCGCCCCGTGAAGATCTTTATAACCTTGAAGAATCTCCAGTAGAATTGGTACCAGATTGGCTTGGGTAAATTCCTGTTTCATTTCATCTATAAAGCAAAGATAAAAAATAACAAGAAGTTTTTTACAATTGTGAGATTCGTACTGTAGCACTAGTGGTGGCACCGCAAAAGGTCAGACAGTAATTTCCCCATTGAACAAGCACAGACCTACGTCATCTGATGCCACAATGAGGTCGTCAAACTAAAACTATTAATTTGTTAATCCACAAAAAGTTATCTGATTATTGTCCCTATAAAAGTGGTCAAAGGTTTTACAAAAAAAGTCTAGTTTTCAAGATTTTTGTGTCGGTCAGGTTTGGGTAACATTTTTTAGTCTCGTGTAAATTCATGTGAAGGTTTTCAACACATCACAGATCTCCTAAAGCTGAATAGGAAGGTTGATATCATGACTTCCTGGGATAATAAATTTTTGCTCTGAAAGCTAGGTCATAAATACATCACCATGCACAACATTGTTGTGAAATCTGGAACAATTTTAATCCCAGTGAATGTCTGTTAATATGTAATGTCTTATTTACAATTGATTAACACGTTGGCTTCCACGTGAAAATGTACAATTCTGTTGTAAGCACCAAGAGTTATCTCAAAGCAACCTTTTAGCAAAAATCTCCTGGAAACAAACCATCTTCTGCAAATAATGTTTGCATGTTTGTACTAGTATGTTACTGTTGTGTGTTGCCAAGTCCCATCGAAATATAATATTGAAAAATCTAGGGTTGGATTTGTCTTGTTGTGCTTTCTTTTTTGTGGAGGGTGATGCAGTAAAACATATATATTTGTTTTTTTATGAACCTGCCCACAAATCTTTTACATGTTTGAAAATTAAGACCAGCCTATAAATAAACTGCAATTCAGCAACATTACATTTTTCTTATTATATAATGTGTCGCCAGCTCATTTTATACAAAGATATACATGACTGAACATTCAGAAGGTTCAATTCATCTACAGTTGACAGCCAAGTATATTTCAGATTCATTGGATTTGAATAATTAGCCTACTTCTGATAAATCTTTCTATTGTCTGTTTTGTGTTGTCCGATATATTAAATTATTGTCTATGGTTCAATCTAAAAAAAACTAAAAATAGTTAATTAAAAACGTTGAATTATTCATTTTTAAATAAATCAAGCAAGTTGTCAACTCCCAATGAGGCACAGATTAAAAGTGTTAATTTAGTATAAAGACAGAATGAGTAAATGAAACTCTTAACATCACCATCGCTATTACCACTGCAGCCAGAGTTCGAATCTCACTGACGTCGAGCTGGTTATTTTTGTTTTATACATATTTTTTTTTACTTATCTATTATGACTTTTGAAATTATTTTTTTTTACACATATTTTTTATACTTTGTTAATGATTTTAAAAATCATTTTGGTAATTTTAAAATCATTTCTCATTATGGAAATGAGGACAAGTCCTATGTTCTGTTAACCAAACAGAGATAGTAAGTCTAGTCTTTTTACCCAAGAGTATAAATGTGTTTTTGTAAATATACAAAGCAACACAAATCAATGCTTAAATGCAGACAGGTAATATGTATTTGGATACTGATGATCATGATCATATATGAAAAATTCTTCCTGTTACAAGAATAAAACAACATAATAATTACACTTTTTTTAAATGGACATGGTGATGGATGATGATGAGGGACTATACCACTATTTTTTCAAGGGGTGATCCTATTTCAAGGAGGGCTTTTCTGCACCATTTTCCAGCTGCTGTTTGGAATGCAGTTTACTAATGGCTCTTCAGCCTCTAGTTCTAAAAATAAATATATACAATAACATTCATATTGAAAAATATCTTAGACTATACCATTTTCTGCAAGGGATGCTACAACTTCAAGTAGGGCTTCTTGCTCATCTTCTTCTACTACCATTTGCAATGCATTTACAAGCAACTCCCCCATACCAGTACCGACAAAAGCCACCTTGTTGGCCTCTGTGGAACAAACAAAATTTCCAATAACTTACATAAAGGACTGAGAATAAGTGAAACAAAAAAAAAATATTTTATTGATATTTTCTTAACATAAAGCAACTAATATTACATTTAATATAACCAACATATAAACTGATATCAAAACATTATACTATCTTTATTTTGTCAGCTTCCATGCCTGGACTAAGACAGACAAATTACATGAACATCATTCCTGATATCATTAAATAAACACACAACATATCTTATTTCTTAATATACAATAACATTATCAACAAATTACAGTAGACGAGTTGTTAGCATTAACATACATATTGACTTCAAAGGTAATCATAGATTGCATACAATATTATGATCTACGTGTGTCGCATAATATGATTACGTTACCGTCACATACGCAAGACTGCACGTAATGCTTACCTACATCCGCTAAATTACCAACGCATATCACTATCTTGCCACAGAGGGCGATGTCCATGGAATACTCCTTAAGTAATTGCACTAAAGTATCAACTAAACCCTCACTGATTGCTTTGCTCTGTAGTATTTCTATGAAGGAAAAAAAAATATTGGTAATGTATATTTAATATTATTCTGAAGGTAATGTATTGAATATGAACATTATGTCTTTATTTATTGAAGAATTTCACGGTATTACCTTAAATGATACATTCTAAAAATAACCTTTGTTTGCTCACCATTTCCAAAGGTGAGATTTGTAAGATAAGCACACGCTACTACTCGGAACCTCTCGTTGGCTGGATCATGATCACCTGACAAACATTTTGTTTTCAGAATGTGAACCAAACTTTGAACACCCCCAGCTTCATTAATTGCTTCTCTTGCTGGGTCTGAAATTAATGTTAAAATTCTTTAAAACATAATGATAATTATAGTAACATAAATGACTAAATTTGTAATTACATGATGAAAATGATATTAAATGCTTGCGGTACACCACGTAGATAGTTCTGAAAAGAACTGTTGTTTTTGATGAGAATGTTTTGACGTTTCGATTGTTAACATTAACATAACAGAGTATGTGACACACATAGGCCTAGTTCAGACTAGGTGGATAAACCTGGCTCAACTCACCGGGTTTATCCACCTGCCAGTCTGAACTAGGTGGCTTATTTCAAGCCAGGCTGTGTTCATATAGTAACTAGGCCTGGCGTGCCACCGTGTTTAACTTTTCTAAGCCGGGCTTTAATCGCTGCAGGGGGTCTTGCATTGACTTCCGGTAAAGAAATTACCAATCAGCATTCAATTACGTACGCTGTGAGCGAGCGTACGTTTCGAGCCCAATGTTTCCAAACTCGTTTCCTGGTTACAGTTCATTATGCTAATTCCCACGCCTGGCTAATCCCGCTAGTCTGAACGCCCGGCAAAGTTAAGCCGGGCTTGACGTTGAGCTGGGCTTAACTCAAGCCTGGCTTATCTCCAAGTCTGAACATAGCCTTAGATCATAATATTGCATTCAATCTATGACCAATCGAAACAAGACATTCTCAACAAAAACAACAGTTCTTTCCAGAACTATCGATGTGGTGTACTGCAAGCATTTAATATATCATTATTTCGCCATGCAAACCTTCAAACAATATGATGAATGATGTTGATGATGATGGTGGAGATGATTAGCAGTGATGGTGATGAGGGTGAAGAATAATGATGATTATAATATTGAAAATGATGAAGATGATGATAATGATGTTGATGAATGATGATTATTATGATGTTATGTTAATGAATGCGATGATGATTATTATGACAATTATTATGAAAACATAGACTGAGACAATGATGACAATAACTATAATAATGATAATACTGATGTTGCTATAATAATAATAATAATAATGTTGATGATGATTCTGGGGATACATACTGATGACCATAAAAATGTTGATAATGAATTATGAATACTAATTAACATTTCTTCATTTTTTATTTACCATAATCACAACAAAGATTTCCCAGAGCTCGGCACGTTTGGTGAAGGACTTCTACATCATTTCCTTTGAGGTAGTTGTTGAGAGGTGGCACAAAACCTTGCTTCACACAGGGTCCTCGGAGGTTCTCTGTCAAACAAACATATTCAAAAAACCTTAAGCACAATATTCTACGTCTCTCGGTGGCTCTGCCGCAATCCATAACTCTACAACCATTCTCATCATCACCAATACCATCAGCATTTTCATTTTTCATCAACCGTCACCATGCTATGCTTTTTAAACAATCAGTAGAAAGAGTGATCCATCAAGCAAACACTTAATGGTGTTTTTATGAGGCTGGGAGAGTAAAGCTGTTTTCAGGGCTTACAGAAACAAATCTTGACATTTCTGTAAGGATTAAACCCAGAACTAGGTATTTGTAGGTGGGCTACTTAACCATAGTCATAGCTTCATTCCTAATTTTTGTCCCCATAATGAGTTTTAAGGGCATTTACCACATTGTGCGATGATGGACAAGTGTTGATGAAAATTCTCACTGAGCACTCACCATTTTTAGCCAGCTCAGCAACTAAATTTGCAAGCTTGGCTTCTATCCGCCTATCGTGCTGTTTCTGCAAAAGGCCATGAACTTTTGCTAAAACACCAAGCTCATCCAGCCTCACACTGTACAATTCAACTGCAACAAAACACATGAATATTTAATTGCCTATAAAAACTCAATTTATGTATATAAAAATGCTACTGTATTTGAAATTATCATATTATGATACATCAGCCTTATATAACGCGTACTTCCAAATCCTCAATGAGTTTTACTATTGGATGAAACACCTATGTAACACATACTCTGCTGCCTTGGGGTATGTTGCATTATGTTGTAGTTGTTAATCAGTACGGTGACATTCAAAGCTTATACTCCTGGGTGAAATGGACAATGTAGATAAAATGTCTTTCCCAAGGACAAAAACAAGTGATTAATAATACTCATAATAATAATACTCAAACATTTATAAGGCGCCAATTCCAAAAATGATCAAAGGTGCAAGCGTTATTATCCCCTGGTCATTGGATAACGTCCAATAATAATAAGTTTGATTAACTTCAGAAATGAACCCCAAACTTATGAATAGAAGCCTGCCGCTTTACCATCATACCACAAGCTTTCAAATAAAATATTTTTTTTATTAGGCAATTTTAGTAATAGAGTTGTTTTCAAACAATCCTGGTGTTTTAAAGAGTTGGAGCTCACAATTCTAGTATTGAAAATACAGTATTACTGTACAATAATATATTTATGATAACAAGGAGGCTAAAAAAAAAATTCTTTTATTGGCCACATTTTGGGAAAATCCAAAAGATGGGTAAGTCGGTATTAAAAGCTTTTTTTTTTTTTTTTGTACCAATAATGTGTTTATGACTAAAAAGTAGAAAATACAGAAAAATACAAAAAAGACCATTTTGAAATCTATAATGAAGAGCAAAAACATCGCATAAAACTGTCGCATCTCCTACCGTCCAGCAAGATAGGCCTATTCCAGCCTTTTCAGCTCATTAGAAAAAAATTTAATTTTCATTGTAGTAAAAAAAACCTAAATTGCCGAACCTCAATTTTGTACTTTTTTGGTCTGTTGGGCGTGGCCAACACAATCATTTTTTTTTTTTTATTTGGCCTGATAATTTCAGTGTAATTGTGATCTCTTTTAAGACCATCGAAATGGCATAATTCCTTTAAGATATTAAATTCAATAAACGTAATAAAAAATAGCCATTTAATTAACAGCAGATGTTACATTATCACACTATCCCACTCCTACACAACACCTACTATACATGAATGTGTAAAACATCTGAACTTTAGTAATAACACTGTATCATTTATAATACTTGAATGCATTTAATACTGTATTCATTATTCATTCATTGGTTGCTTGCAGTATAGTCGTTAGCCATCAGCTTGCATGCAGTGGTAATGAATAAAATGCGTGGAGGAAATTATGCATCCAAAATCTTGAATTTTATTCTATTTTCATTCATTATCAACATATCGTTAAAATTATTCTTAGTATTGTTTCTATTATTAGATATTACTACTAATATTCTTGTTATAATCATAAATATTATTACTACCAATATTGTTATTATTAATATTATAGGTGTAACTTACATCTTATTATGTCATGCTATACATAGATAAGTCATGGTGTTATTTTTAACATTATTCTTTTCTTTTATTTTTAGGTATTGTTTCTAGTATTACTTTTGTTAAATATTACTAATGCTGTTATAATCATAAATATTATTACTACCAATACTGTTACTAATTATTAATATTATAGGTACTCACCTATAATGCCTCCTTTTTTCTTGGTATTGTTTACTTTTATTAGATGTTACTAATGTTGTTATAATCATAAATAATATTACTACCAACATTGTTACTAATTATTATTAATATTATAGGTATAATTTACATCTTGTTATATCATGCTATACACAAATAATTCATGGTGTTATTCTTAACATTATTCTCAGTATTGCTATTATTACTTTAATTAGATATTACTGTTGTTATTATAATCATAAATATTATTACTACCAAATATTGTTAACTAATTAATATTATAGGTATAATTCACATCTTGTTATGTCATGCTATACATAAATAATTCATGGTGTTATTCTTAACATTATTCTCAGTATTGCTATTATTACTTTGATTAGATATTACTGTTGATAATATAATCATAAATATTATTACTATCAATATTGTTACTAATTGTTATTAATATTATAGGTATAATTCACATCTTGTTATGTCATGCTATACATAAATAATTCATGATGTTATTTTTTGTGGTGTTCATTACTTTTTCTTGTTTTTTTTTCTTTTGATTTTTTGCTATTAATTTCAAGTCTGAAATTTGCATTTTAATAGCATTCTTAAAACCACCTGCAATTTTTTCTGTTAAAAAAAACACACATTAGGTCGATTAATATTATTATCGCTATGCAACTACAATCAATATTATACTTATTAATATACAATATTGCTATAAACATTTACTATGGTTGGCTTTTAAAAATATCCCTATGGAATATTTATCTTTTCATTGTTATATGATTATATATATTGGATCCTTTATCCTTGACATTTTGCTAATTACCTGCTATTAACATCAGTGTGACCAGAACAACAAGGCATTTAACATTAAAGCTTACCAAGGAGTATAAACAGATAAATGGAACAAGAGCCTATTCCTGTTTGTAATACGTACCTCCCCTAGTTACGAAGGAAATCGCCATCGCCGTTATGAAGTGCGCCTACTATGTATGAGTTTACATGAAGTGCGGCCGCTTCGATGGTACGATGATAAAGAAAAATAAGGAAATAAACCGCCCTCTACGAAAGTATTATATCACATGGAAAACAGATAAACAAACAAACAAAGCGCGTTGCAGTATTGGGAATAATAAAGAGCATACAAATGGTAGCGGAAGCCGTACACTGGCTGCGTATGGTGTTTTGTTTTTTTACGCTCTGAATGAGCGTAGTACGCTCTGAATGAGCGTAGTACGCTCTTTTGTTCTATTTATACTGTTTGAGCTTACTTACTATCCTCTTCTAGAACCTTTAGTAGAGCACCAATGGCATCAAATTGGTTGTCTTCTGTTTCCTCAATTGACAGCTTTGCCATGGCTTCACTTAGATCTGGTGATTACAGATATATGAATATATAAATTAAACTTTTTGCTTTTTGTATCAATATAATAAGAACAACAATAAGACATTTTAAATAGGTCTACGTATGTAGTGTAAAAGTAATATTTACTTTTACTTTTGTAAACTTTTCATTTCAACTATGTGTTGCATTTTGAGTATTTTCAAACCGATTAAATTAAAAAAACAAATAAATACTTGATATTATGAACACATTATGCTAAACCTAGATAATTTACAGATATTTTTTACACCCTGTGTTTTTTTTTTCAGAACCATGTATGTGGTACACCACAACTACAAAAATAATCATTTTCTCTTCATATAGCGGATTATGCTTAAGCCTCAACAAACAAGCAAATACCCTTTCTTTTTAGAGTTATTTATAAGGTGTACAACAAAAGTAACAATAATAATAATTTACAATTGATATAGGCATTATGCTAACACCTCAATGCATTTAACACCACAGCAATATTCGCATGTTTAATCTCCAAGCAATTTGGAATAGTTTACTGGTATTCTGACCAGCATTATTCAACATTAAAGTCAGGCTCCGGAGGAAAAAAATGTTTTGATATGTTGTAGAACTGATTTTTCTAAGACAGAAAAAAGTTGTTTGATGAAAAACTGGAGAACGGTGAATGAGATACAGATTTTTTAATATTTAAAAACTGGGGGAAAAAAGGGGTGTAACTGCCCATTTTTACACCTTAAGGAACCTGACTTTAAGGAATTTACAATTTGCTTATAGTAGAAATGTCACACTTGCATGTTTGTTTACCCAAGTTGTCACATGACTTATATGCATGCTATATCGGCCTATTGATTAGAATATCTTGAATGAACAATTTTAAAAAGACAAGACTGTGAAAGGTTCTTTAATGTATAGACTAGATGAAATTCTTTCAAATATAAAAGATTTTTGGAGGTTTATGAAAAATTATTTTTCTCTAGAAAAACGTTCATTCATAAAAATTTGCATACTAAATCCATAACATCAGGCATTCTACAGTAGCATGGATACCATTTTTTAAGCAATGTCAGCAGAGAACTATGAATTGTAAAAACACAAATTGAAAGGTTTAACTGATAGCTTTAGCAAAAGCCTAGAATCCAGTGAAGTGAAGCAGAACTTAATTCATGCTCACTGTCTTGTAATCATACTATGGAGCAATCCTTTATTTTATCTCCATGCATTGCTATAATTAATGTACTTGATGCTTTCAATAAGGGCATGGACAACCTTGAAATGAATGATGTTTAATTTGAATAATATTGATAACTATAACTCTCAGTGTTAAAAATACAAACAGTATTTGAGACATTATATCTTTCTTTTTCCCAATGGTGTTTTTAAAAGTATCTTCATATTTATTTATTTATTCATTTGGCATCACTGCCTGGTAGACGCAAAGGCAGGAAACCTATCATCCAAAAGGATATGCAACTCCCTTTCTTGTTAAATAATACTGTATTTTACCAAAATAAGTATACAGTAAGCCAATACTGTTAAAGATCACTTATTTTTCATGGATAATGTGAACACATAAATGATAAAGAAATTAATTAATCATTAAGAAATTCAATTTAAGATACTGTAAAAGAAGAAGAAGTCTGATTGGGACCTTGGTAAGGGGCCATCTATAATTAACATCTCGACGAGAGTTGATTGACAGATAAACCGACTAATCAGCGAGCGTCATTTAGTCAAGTGATCAAAAACTTTTTCTCGGACATTTTAATTTCCTTAGACAGCTGGTTGTCAACGCGAAACATACGTGAGCCTAGGCCTAGATATCTATGCTTGTCGACATGTCAATTTATGACATTTTCAAAAAAGTACAAAACTTGCAGTTTAAGGAAGAGGGGGCTGAAAGTGTAGGCATATTGCTCTTTTATGAACAAGGGCGACTCCTCACCGGTTCACACGTTAAACTGAGGTTACCTCTATTCAGTGTTTAATGCTTCATGTATGCACCTTTTCAATGAGGCTTTTTGTTGGCACTATTGAAACATGCTCAAATCATGAAGGAAATATCCTCCATGCTTTTAAATTATAGTACACAGTTAGGCCATCAGCTGTACAGCTAGAAGTGCCTGGAAAGTGACATGTGTCCTGGCAAAATATGGACCAGCTGATTTTTGCAGTATACACTCTCCAACACATCAGGAGGCATGTGTAAAAATTTCTCAAACGAACTCTCATCCAAAACCTGTCATCGGTGCATTTTAATATACCCCATTATGCTAAAAACGCACACTTTTTGTGTCTGGCCCCATGTTTAGAGGTCATTAAAATCATGGCTAAATCTCTGTAATAATTTAGTGTTCAGAATCCAGCAGCAAAGACAGTTCACAACAGATAGAGATTTTGGTTTCATTATTAATTTCTTAAGACTTTAAAAAATCAACTGAAAAACTTCAAAAAATGAAGTAAATTTGTCTTTTCTTCAATAACATACAAAGTTCCGAGGTCAATAAGATCATGCTAAAAAAAGACATTTTGTCACCCATACAAAGATCATGCTAATCGTACTGTAATCATTGAGTGTTTGGATTTCAACAGTAAAGGAAGTTCCCAACAGATATGAAGATTATCATATCGTTATTTAATTATTAAGAGCGTCAAAAATAAAATTAAAACCTAAAAAAAATAAAGAAAATGTCTTTTTTAAATATCTCATACAAAGTTCTGAGGTCAATAAAATCGTGCCAAATATACTGTAATCATTGAGTGTTTAGATTTCGTACAGCAAAGACAGTTCCTAACAGATATAGAGATTGTGGTATCATTATTTATTTATTAAGACTTAAAAAAATAAACTTCAAAACTTAAAAAAATGAAGAAAACATGTATTTTTTTAATCGTGTATATACGGTTCTGAGGTGTACGATCATATTAAAATCATGCTGCAATAATTAGTTTTTAGATTCCTACAGCAAACACAGTTCTTTTTACTCTTTTGTGGGGTCGTTCCACTTTTATTTCATCAAAATACCATCATTCATACATTAAAGCAATGATATAGGTAGTTACTTAATGTAACATTTCAGATTCATTAACATTTATTACATAATGGTCAAATTTAGTAGTTAAAGTACTTAACTTAAATTTATCTTTCAATTTTATCTTTCGTTATTGAAACATTTTATAAATTTTAATCTTCCTTCTTTGTCTTTCTCTACAATACAACCAACACTTAAAATATTCCATAATACAATAGAAATAAATCTAACAAATAATTACATAAATAATGCTTTCCGTACTCCTGTGTCTTAGTTTGCTTTACATCACATGGTTAAAAATTGCTTATCGTCTCGTGCATTAAGTTCTTTA